TTATATATATATATATATATATATATATATATATATATATATATATATATATGTTACGGGCAAAGTATATAATTTGGGCAATATAGATAACGGATGATATGATTTAATGAAATATGATAAATCGTAAAACATAGTTAAAATAAAGTCAAATTATTATTTGTAACTAATTTGTTTGTTCTTATCGTATTTTTACAATGGGGATGTCTGCTTGTCCACATATACACGTGTAGGTGACATAATATATTATTATTATATTTACTGTTTTATAATTTATATATAGTTGTAGTGATTATCGTGTAGTCCGCGTTTTACCTATTCTCAAAAATGAACTATTTAGTAACCCTGAATCGTTTGTGTAATGCAGGTTAATTCATTCAGTGCGTACCAAACTACTTATTCGAATATGAAAAAGTTTAATGAAGATTTAAACAATTTTTTTTTTTAAAAAAAAGGTTCAAATACTTCATTTTTTGCCAAGTTAAAATTTGATAAATTAATTTTACATAAAAAGCAATTAAAAAACTACTAGGTACTATTTTTTCCGTCTTTTTCAGTATTAAAATGTGTACGTGTGTACACCATTTGTTTGAAATCGTACGCGCTAGAAAATTAATTTACTCCTAAGGATTCCAACAGGATATTTAGTGCTGTTGTTAGTTATTGGTACCGTTGAAAATAAGATCACAAGTAAATAAATAAAAACGTTCAACCGTAGTCATATACATAACACGTGGTAAGATAATAAAATATCAAAAGTAATTGATGTGTTTGTAGTATTTAGTTGCAAAATGTAAATTTGGTTTTTATTAATTGTCGCTTATTTTGACGATTATAAATTAAATTGTTCAGAATCGAAATATCAGAAAATCAATTTCATCAATATTAAAAATGATTAGAAATAAAATAATATTTTATCCTTGAGACCAAAATTTAATTTTTTTTTTTTTATTTAAGCACATGGAAACCATACATTAAAAAAGTTATGGGTTTAAGAGAATGAAAATATTAGTTTTAACTTTATAATATTTTATAAATGATGAAAAAACATAGGTTATATAATAACATAATTATTTTATATAATAAACTTAATAAGAAACTAGTCATATTTATTACGGAAAAAGTTATAACATCACTTATAGAGAAAGGAAAATGTATTATTCTATAAAAATAATAACATTAAACTTGTTATGCCGTATAATATTTTAAACCAAACAATAAAACCCAAAGCCAAATAAAAATGTGTTTTTAAAAAAATTACTATAAAAGCTAATATTGACGGTTAATGGAATTAAAATAATGAAATACAAATACGAATCTAATTGAGATATACATATTTATGCAACATACATTTTTTTAAAAGCATGCACTATGTACGATTATTCTTTATTCTTCAAATAATTTAGTTAATATTTACGATTCTTATACTATTAATTCTCGTAGAAGTTCTTACTTAAGGTAAATGGTTACACACGTACACATACTTAATGCTCATTTTATGTTTTCAGGAAAGAAAATAATATACATCAATGTAATAATGATGTACATGTTTGTTTAAAAAAAATAATCATAATCTGGATTAATTGAAGACACGAAAATAACTAAAATTTCATCGACAAAATTTTATAAGATTTTGAAGAAAACAAAACTATTAGGCAGTTCATGTTCACCGCTCAACCGTGCAACACGTATGTTTCGTACAGTCACCGTATTTAGAGCTCCCGATAGCAGTCACGTGTTGTACTCTTATCTTCTCTTAGATTACATAACATTCAGGTAATATGATTGTTTTTGTAGTCTTAATTACTCCGATTAAATAGACAATTAAAAACAATGGGCGAATCGCCCATTTATATAGATATGAGTGATACGCTCATTTCTACCGATCATAAACGTAATTTTCAAACGTTCGCTGAATTAACCTCTAATGTAGTATTACCTAAAATCAGTGTTGGGCTAATCGTAATCTGATTGATGATTAAAGATTATGATTAAAATTTTTAGTTGCTAATCATAATATAAATTAATGTAATCAATAATCACAATAAAGAATTATTTTAAATGATTAAATTAATAATGTAATCATAGTATTGATTACGATTACAAAATATGTTAATTTGTAATCATGACTATTTTTTAACGATTAATGATTAATGATGTTTCAATAACGATTTTGGACTAAATAACAAATATATTTTGAGATAAAAATTTAAAAAATATGCAGTTTTGTTATTATTATGTTTCGAATTCTGAAATATAAGCTGCGAGTACTCATAATAATGTGAACATTATAAATTGTATTTCAGTACAACATAAGATATCCACCTTCACATACATTTTCTTAATTATATTGAGAGTGTTTCGTATGCGTTATAGTCTTATGAAATTCGAGAAAATATTTATGCTTAGTACTTGTAAATCATGTATTATATGAACTTTTATAAATACGGATTTGAATTGTATGTTGACGTATTCTTGTTTT